GGGAGACCATGATCAGATGCAGAGGAGCAATTTTTGTGTGCCTCATTGGATTTTTCCCCCTCTCTGATCAGATGTACCACACACTGTTAATGTAGTATACACACATGCGAAAAAGGCCAGAGGCTATCATTACTATGGATAACCAAACAACTCATGGTCTTGTCATATTGTCATGGTTATATTCTCTTTCCTTGTTGGACGTTTTGGAGATCATGCATGGGATCAAGAGGTTAGCAGTTACCTCGCATGGTAGCCCAACTAGGTGAAAATACTGAGTTATTTTTTCTCCCATCTTGGAGGTACAGATATGTTTAGCATTAATTATGAGGTATATATCCTTGTGGAGGCATCGTGATTAACAATGTAGAATATTTTGCATTATCTTATTAATAGTTTAATACGAGTACCTCGTAAAAACTGGAGAAAACATTTGACATCATACCTTCTAAAACTATTGGTTGATTCTCTCAAGCCACCCTCGTTTTATCGTAAAATTTGGTAATTTGACACTTCATTTGTAGTCTTCGATGATATGTGGAACTATCGGAGTCAATTAAAATGTGACAAGGTGTTGCCGCTTTTTTTTTGCCAACACAAGATCACCTAATGATTTGCAGTGTAATCAACAGAGAGTCGCCAAAATCAATAGATCAAAACCTGCTAGCAGAACCGATTTCAAGATTAATTCACTTTCACGGAATCAAGCGACTAATTTACAAGCAAATTAGTAAAGAAGATAAATATCGTGCTTACGTGACGATAAACGACTAGTTTCCGAGCAAACTAGCAAAGAATAACCTCCTCGTTTTCGTGGAGAAGCACGACCATTTTTCAGCGCAAAACGGCAAAAATTAACTAAATTCTAGGGTTGATAGAACTCAGCCATGAAAATAAAATAGAAAAAACTTAAAAAATAAAAAGTAAAAGAGATGAATAGTAGATTGAAATTGTTCGGGAGTTTCTGCCGACGTCGGGTCTTCAGCTTTGTAAGCACCGCATGCCGCATCAGACGGATATCCTTTTTCTGCACCATGGGCCCATCATTCCTTCCTACTATCCGAGACGGTACTGCATGCAAGCAGTCAGGCTGGCCCATCTGATTCACTGCTGTTGCTTCATCCACATTATGTACATGCATGCCATCGTTGATGTCCTCCATCTGCATCCTCTGGCGCCAGTCCTCCTGAACAGGAGCCCCATTCAGCTTTTGAGCAAACCACTCAACACTCTTCTAAATAATGTCTTGCACAAATTAAGTAACTAAAAGCCAAATTATGATACAAACAGGGGCGGAGCTAGAATAAAATGAAGGGGTTCCACTCGCTTGCTTTACTCTGGATTGAATCAAATTTAGCTTGATACATGTGCCTAAGCTTAAACTGATGGGGTATATGTATGGTGAAAATAGATAAACTATAGTAATTTTTTTGAACCGGGTTCGTGGGCACCCTCTAACTATACCAGCTCCACCCCTGGATACAAACACCAGACCATTAAATAATCGAAACCCACTTTTTGAAGGGTTGAATTAGACCTCCTCTCTGTTTTATATGGTGTCATTGGACTTTGGACAATTTGGTTTTATCCGGAAGAAAACGGGAAGAAAGTAAATCAATCCAAAGTCTAAGTGCTTGTTTGGCATGGCTTTAGCTTCAGCTTCATCTTTTTCGGAGCTAGAGTTCAGCCAAACAGATTTATTTTCATCTAAAATGAGAGTGGAGCTAGCTATAATGCTAAAAAAAATTGTTACATAATTCACACTAGACCCAACTTCTAAAGTTAAATTTAGAAGTTGGAGCTACCAAATGAAACCTAAACTATAGAGTAATGAAACTCAAACTTTGATTCTCTTGCATGCGTTATATTTTCTGTCGCTTAGAGTGCGATCGTTTTCCCTCTTGTATTTTTCTTCCCTTCTTAATAAAACGACACGATGTTCACTTGCGTGTTTAGAAAAAAAAAAGACTCATACGTCGATGATGCCACTTTTTTTTTGAACTTGTGGATGCTGCCACTTCACAAGGGAAAAAGTACACCGAAGGTCACTCAACTTATCATCGAGTTACAAAATCGTCCTTGAACCGTAAAACCAGATATATGACGTTCCTTAATTTACAAAACTGTTCGCTTTAGGTACTTCGGTGTTTTTGACCCCGGTTTTGTCCGACGTGGCGGCTAAGTCAGCGTGGGACTCAAGTGGACCCATATGTCAGGATACCACGTCATCACCCTCTTTCCTTCCCCTCCTCTCCCTCTCTCTCTCCTTTGTCTTCTCGCAGGTTGGCTGGCGGGTGGGGTGGAGCCGGCGGGGCGAAGCGGGAGAGGAAGAGAGTGATGGCGGCCGGCAACGTGGGAGAAGAGGAAGCAGTGGTAGCAGAGGCCACAACCGCCGTCCAGCGAGGGAGTGGGGACGGCGGGAGAAGGCGAGGTGGGGATCGACCGCGATGGGAGAAGGTGAGACGGGGGCGGCCATTCCTCCCTCTTGGTGCCGCTGCCGACGGCGGACGGCCCGGCACGGCGTGGGGACGCAGTTGTGGGCGCCGTGGCGGACAGTGGTGCGCACCACTCTCCGTCGGGACCGACGACGCGGAGCGGCGTGGGGGCCGTCCTCAGGCACGGCGCTACCCTGGATCCAAGTGGCGCGAAGATGGAGGAGATAGGGAAGAGGAAGAGGTGGTGCTCCTCCTCCTCGAACCCATCATCGTCGTCCGCCAGCCGCCTGCTCCACGCGCCACCGCCTCACCGGCCTGCTTGCTTTACCCTACTTGACGGTGCCCGACGGTGTGGCAGCATCATCATCGTCGGAGCTGGAGGCCATCCGGTGGGGGACCGCCAAGCGGCAGGCCGCCCGCGATAAGGTCGAGGATGAGGTCGTCCTCCGTCCGGGCTCCCTCCTCGACAGCTTCTCCTTCGCTGCCGTTGAGTTCCTCAGGCACGTTGAGCTTCTCCTTCGCTGACGACGCGGCGTGGGGGCGCAGAAGGGGGTGCCGCGGTTGATGGTGGTGCACACCGCTCTCCTACGGGGCCGACAGCGCGGCATGGCATTGGGGTGCCACGACTAACGGCGGTGCGCGGGCTCCACCGATTCTTTCCACCGACGATGCAGAGCGGGAACGAGGAGCAATGCGTGGAGCAGCGACGACGAGACGCGACGGCGTGGAGCGCGCTCCCCATCTCCTCTGACGCCTTCCACCGAGCCACCGCTGTCTCCACAGCCATCTCCCTTGTCGCCTTCTCCACCCACCGCCGCTCCACCTCACCATCGCCCCACTCCGCCCACCGCCGCCCCTCTCCATCCCGCCGGCTCCGTGCGCCGCCGCTCCACCTGCTTCGCTCCCCTCTGCTCAGCTGCTCCCATGGGAGAGAGCAGATAGATACAGAGAAGAGAGGGGATGAGAGAGGAGAGGAGAGAGGGGATGAAGAGGCTGACGTGTGAGGCCCATGTGAGTCCCATGCTGATTCAGCTACCACGTCGGATAAAACCAGAGTCAAAGCCGCCGAGGAACCTAATTTATACTAATTTTATAAGATGAGGGATGCGTTGTATCTGGTTTTACGGTTCAAGTGATGACAAGTTGAGGGAACTTCGGTGTACTTTTTCCCTTCACAAGAGAAGACGACTCATCGAGAGTTTATGTTTGTGGGCTTTCGGAGTTGTTCGTTCATGGGCTAGTTTGTATAGGTTGGCAACTCATCTCCTCTTAGGTGGGCTTCCATTATTGCAACTTTAACGGGCAAATCTAAGCCTGGTAAAGTTGCCATGTTGGCCCACTCATCACGCCTTTTGCTTTGCTGTGTACATCGTGTTCCTTTAAGCTGGTTGTTCAATACAGTATCATGGATTTTCCTTCGTACTAGTACTGTACTAGTATGCCCTTTCTTACTTTTTTCTACCTTGGAGTGCCGTGCTGATTGCCCTCCTCCTATCAAAAGAAAAAGGCTAGGTAATTATTGGGAAGCAATGGGTTCTCTTCTCCAAGTCATGGTTAATCCTTTTATATGCTTTCATTCCATAGGGAAATAAACCTAAAAATAAGATATACTAATCATGTTTTGTGGGGTATAACACTAATCATCAAGTCCTCCTTTACAAGAAAAGGATTTTAGATTTTTTTTTAAAAGAAACTGAAAAAATTGTTAGGAACTTTTGGTGTTTCAAAGGAGCTCATATTTTATTTCCTCTTTTTATCTGAAACGCACGGTAGATAATTTGAGCAAAGCAAACGACATATCGCAAATAAAAAAAAAAACAAGAACAACAAGCAACAAATGTCTTACTATTGTTATCATACGTGTTAACACTAAATACACCGTTTACAGTTTAAAAATTAGGCTGATAAAAATCAAGATAAAATTTTGTCTTAATCGGAAACGAACGAGATATAAGGGAGAAAAAACTTAAAAGAAAAAAAAAAGCTCAGACGATGCCATTTGGTGCAACTGGTAAGCGACAATCAGCGGCCAGCTCTATAGAAAAAGAACGCCATTTGTGCTCCACTACAACAAAAAGCCCGAGACGGAGCACGCTGACGTGTAAACGGTGTAAAACGCCATCCACGGCCGGATTTCCCCTCGCCACCGTTACAGTCACCGCAAATCACCGTAGCCGACGCTCACCTCCTCACCCGAAACAGCTCAAGTGCTCAACTGGACAAAGCCAGGAGCAAAAATATTTTTCAAGTTTCAGGGAAACCAACCGAGGAAAATATACAGTGCAAACCACACACATATATATATTGGAAACTTAGAAGTGTATATATAGTGGAAACTTAGAAGTGTATATATAGTGGAAACTTGGAATTGGATCAAGAAATAGACGTCCAAGATTCATCCACATCACCGCGAGTTAAAATTTAACTCGCAGTAAAATTTTCTCGGACGAATCTCGAACGTCTATTTCTCGATCCAACGGTAAGTACTGCTACATATTTTCCCAACCAACCGCCCGCACGTCGCACGCCAGCTTCCACCGGGCGGTAACCCCACCACCAACCCCCCACTAACCCCAACTCCTTTCTCTCTCTCTCCTCCCCGTCAAGGCGTCAAGGCGTCAACACGTCAAGCAGAGGAAGAGCAGAGCGGAGAGGGCGAAGCGGAGCGAGGCGAGCGAAAAAGCGGCAGCGAAAGCGAGAGGCAAAGCAGATGAGGCCAAAGCGAGTCGCGGATTAGGGAGAGACGCAACAAAAGGGAAGCGCGGCGAGGAGGAGGAGGCGGAGGCGGAGGCGGGAGGGGGCGATGGTGAGGCAGGGCGTCGTCGTCGGCGGCGGCGGCGAGATTACGCAGGCCGGCAGCGGCAGCGGCAGCATTGCCGGGTCGGCGACCGCGCCGGCGGCGAGCCCCCACCAGGTGAGACCAGCCCAGCGCCTCCCGTTTCCCCCCCCCCCCTTCCTTCCCTCGCTTGGTGTGCTCGCGCTCCCGCTGTGTAGTCGATGGCTTGCTTGTTGCTGGCTTTTGCTTGCTGAGAGTCCTAGCGTGGGCCGATTCGGTACCCCGATTTTGTTCGCGCGACGAAGTGCGGGAGTGGAGTTCTACTAGTTACGATTTTGAGCGATTTACTAGCGGAATTGTAACCATGGATTCTGATGACGCGAATCGGTCGCTTACTCATGCGCGCGTTCGAACTTGTTTGCTTGTATGTTTGTGTTTGCACATTTTGAATCGTTATAAATGGAGTGTGCGCATGTGTTCAACTCTCGAACTGCTATTTGGCGACTCAATTGGTTCGTGCAATCGTGCGAATGCATGTGTGTGGAATTGGGTGTTTTCGATGCTGTTTGTGCGTCCAATTGGCTGTAGGAGACTACCCGTGGCATGGCACTTGCTGACAAATTGGGGGAACAGTGTGTGAATCGGAGCTACTCTAGGCCTAAGATTGCTGCTGTAGTTGTTGCAGAAATGAACAGTAGCATTCAAATTGAAAAACGGTCACAATGAAGTGGTTGGGGTTTTGCCGATTAGGTGGCCTACTGGCATGTTATAAAATTTCCAGCATTACCATGATGAGATGAGTCGGCCCGTCAGGTGGTATTTGGTTTGTGTGGGAAGTTTGAAATTGCATCATTGGGATGAACCAATGGAGAAATAATGTTTTCAATTCTCTTTTGACTTAAAGTACAGAAGTAGTTAGCGATTTGGTGATTTTGTGAGTCCCAATGTTTAGGTAGTGCCAAACTTTGTGGGCATGTTTGATTCGGTGCTCAAATAGTGCTCATGCAAGATGAATATATTAGCATTGCCTAAGTTTTATTAGGTTAGGTTTTTGTTGACATGTTTGGTTTGCTACCTTACCAAATTTTGATAGGGTAAAACCAAACTAACTAATTGGGCTTGTGACTTGTGTGGTTGCAGTTGTTTCACTGACTTTAATTGCACAAATATGTAGGTTTCATTCCTTTATGTTATCTTGCTCACTGGAGTACGAATTAGCTCATTTTTCTTATGTTTGAAGATAGCCTGATATACTTGTTGTTAGACAATACATTGATGAGAGTGTTCCCCATTTGCTTTCTGTCTATTCAAAAGAATTAATTATAAATAACAATTTGTTCCATTTTTTCAAAGAAAGGCGATCTGGTCGCAATTTTGTCCCTTAGCTACATTACTGAATTTGCTATAGTTGGTTAAGCTTGTAGGACTATTCTGAACTGCCCCAGTGCCTCATTTTGTTTCCATGCATTAAACAAATATGTTGTATTTCATTATCATTGTCCCTGAGTAATAATAGAAAGAACCCGTGACATATATTTTCAACAAGTCCATCGGGGCCATTTACAATTTTCAAGGCATTACTTTGCTTTGTAGCTGATAGTTCCATAGTAATAAATTACTTGGCCATTGCTTTAAAGCATAATCAGGTGATCATGATAGACTTTGTGCATACATTTTTTAGTTGAAAAACTAAACGCTGATAATCCAAACACGCCTTGACTTATAAAAGTGTCTGTCAGAATTCCATCACTTTTTTTTTGTTGATTTGAACTAATTTCTGCTCTCTTTTCGAGGACATAGCTATTACTTTGATTTAACCTACATCACTTTGCTAACATTCAAAACATTACTTCCTCAGGTGGCAGTTGAAATAGATGAGCAAATTTACTCCCCAGCATTTGGCAATATTGTTGTCCCTGATAGTCGTGGTTGCTGCAGTGGTTTCACATCCAGTGTCACAAGAGTGGTGTTTATCTTACACCTCCTTGCTTTCATTGCCCTCACAATCTTCCTTGGTGTCCAGGCCTCTTCCCGACAGAATCCTACCTACAAGCCTTTCGCCAACTTTGTTCCTCTTGCCTCCTCTGTCATAGTATCCATAATTGCAGGTTGCTTTTGGGTCATCCTTGCAGTCATTAACCCTCCAAAAGCCATCAAGACCTCACTCTGGGCAGCCCCTGTTCTTGCACTGGCCTGCGATGTAGTCATACTCCTTGTTGGCAATGGGGCTGCACTTGGTATTGGAGTGCTCATAGTTGTAGTTGCCATTGCCGTGGCACTATACAGTTGTTGGGCCAGTGGTCCACGTCTTCAGCATGCCACTGCAGTGCTTTCCACCTCTCTTAATGCAGCACATTTGCCTCCTACTGCTTCCTGCCTAGTTGTCTTTGTCATTCTTGCTGCATTTGGCTATATGTCTTTCTGGACAGTCGCTATCAGCTGCATTGCTGCTGCAGAAGGGTACTTCATGAACTTTAAGATGGCTTATGTGGTTGCACTTTTGGTGAGCATGGCATGGACCATGCAGGTACTTCGCTACTTTGTCTATGTGGCTGTGGCAAAACTGGCACATACACGGCTTGTCTATGGAGTCCGTATGCCAGGTGGCACCGTTGAAGCATTCTGTGGCACAATGATGGGGCCATCCTTCGGCGATATATGCATGGGAGCTGTGGCTGTCCCTGTTATTGCAGCAGTGAGGAGCTTTGCTCGAGCAATCAATGCTGTGACTAAGGGCAATGATGAGTTCTGCCAGGGCTGCTGCTTGGCTATATCAGATAAACTGATGGGACGGGTCAACCGGTGGGGTTTTGTACACGTAGGAGTGCGTGGCAAGGCATTCTGTGTGGCTTCGCGGGATGTGTGGTCTCTTTTCGTTCTCCGTGGGATATCAAAGCTGGTTGATTCAGACCTCACTGGTTCATTCTGCTTCCTTTCTGCTGTCACAGGAGGTGCATTGGCCTCACTAGTTGCTGGCTCATGGGCACTAGCCATGGATAAAGAACATAAGGAGCTTGCTCTGCCAGTAGCCATTTATTCATTTCTCATCGGTTATTACATGGTAGTCCACTCAACCTCTCGCACTCTGTTCTTTGAGTGCTCATCTGCAATTAATTCTGGATTAGTTAAACCTGATCGAACATGTTTTTGAACTTTTTTCTCGCAAGTAATAGTATACTTTTGCCATACTGAAACATGACTAAATTGATTTGGCCTTTGTAATCAAGAGGTAGCATAAGTCTGTTGCTTCAATATTTTGCAAGCCTAATATGTGCCATTTGAAATTTTGTAAGACAGCATCCGGTAAGGTTCCAAGCTAGTTGGTATCAAAGAATATAAACCAGTCACCAGCTACAATCCTATAAAATTTGAATTTAACTTTAGGCTGTCTTGGTGAAATATTACGGGCCTACCGTCCAAACTTATTTTTTTTGTTCTAGGTATTCTTTTATCCATATTATTTGGAAAACAAGATACTAGTTATATTACTATAATAGAGAGACATAATATTATTTACTCATTTTAAAGTGCAGAGATCCAGCATCTCATGGGATGTAATACTCATGCTGTTTAGACATCTTGTTTTCTAATCCTCTTGTTTGCTTCTTGTTGCAATGGTGCAGTGCCGAATGATAATTGCGTGGCCACAGGCTTGTGTTGCAACATATCATGTTGCATATGCAGAGAACCCACAGAACCCTCACCTGGGGACACTTATACCAGACCATCTGCGTGAGCTCCAAGCACTAGCAACGGACTGATCTCGTAAAAATATTCGCCAGCGTGACCCTTGCAGAGTTGCGCATTCTTCCCATTATATTGATGGTTCTTCAATTCCTTCAGCCATTTTTTCAGATTCCTGCATCAGTGCAGATATTTCTATACTCTGCTGCTGTTGTTGCCGCTTATGAGTACTGCATATGTACAGCAAATTTTTGCGTGCTCAGTTGTGTAGATATTGCATTAACCAAAAGAAAGATATTAGATGATCTGAGACACCAAGACATATAGCTGTAGAGGAAATAGCACAGTGAACACATAAATAGAATGGATATATTCATTTTCGTGGATAATTGTTGCTTGCCAGTTGCAGGTGCATTTGCAGATGCGGTTGTTGATGCTTTTGCCGTTAGGCTGTGCAGAATTAAAGCATTTATTTGTCATTGAGTTCTACATTTTTCATAGTTGCATTTGTATTCTTGTTCTGTCGGTGCGTTTTGAAATATTGACTTACATGTTGCTCTTCACTGGGAAAGTTGTACTATGTATATGTGTTATATGGTTGATTTTGGTTAAAATGCACCCTATACATTAGTTAATACTGCTCTTCATTGGGAAATTTGCATGATCCTTTAAAAAAATTGACGACTTTGCACATTTAAAAGATCATGCTGTATATTATATAATTGATTTTAGTTACACAATACTTCAAGATTTTACCACTAAATTTGTATATAGTACTGCTTGTTCACAAAACAAAGGAATTATTCTTTTAATTAGCAACATTCTGAGTTTCTGAATAACTTGAATAATACCTCATTGACATGCCTTAGCAAATTGATTCAATTCAATCACGTGATTATCTATTGTGAAAGACATGACTTGTATTTTGAATGATATCTACATGATCTCTGCCATGCTACTTAAACTATGGGTTGGCCATATAGTTTGTCACTGTATCATTAGAAGTTTACAAGACTAGTCTTCTTGTTCTAGCTGAAATTAACATTCTAGCTTCTACAAATTCCTTTTACATCACATACTTTGTGGTTATTTCTGCATAAAGAGAGGTGTATAATATAACTTGTAGGCTGTAGCCCTGTAAATGTGAAGTACTTTGTGTATGTAAATGATATTATTCTGTTTCCTGGGTTTTGTTATTTTGATGGCATTCTACTGGAAGTATTAATTAGATGAACTGATCAGCTTAATGTCCTGGAAAAACTTATAGGTACTTTACAGTTCATCATATATCATGTGTATGTCTTGAGACATTTTGAAAATCAAACTGCTTTCCCGCTACCTGTTGACAACAGGAGCAAGTGATTAATACGAACTGTATATTGTACATATATATCACTCTGTATACATTACTCTGTTTTGTTGCCATTCGTTGTCTTCTTTGATAATCCTGTCAATTGTCATGGTTCTCTATACCAATCTGAAATAGTGACAAGCCATTATGTTAAACCGCGTGTATATGTGTCATGCATCGGTCCCTTTATCAATAATTTTGGTTTCTGCTTGCCTATCGAGTACAGATTAGATATGCTCGTTTATGTGATGTGTACATTACAAGGATTCAGAGTCCAGTGTTTGTGCTATATCTAATTCAGGTTTCTTAGAGGTGTTTATGCACGTCTTCTGAAGGAACGTATCAATATTCAGTACCTCTGGTTGCCCGCATGTATCTTTGATTCACATGCATGTCCAGTGCTAAACTGCTAATCTGAGATCACCAAATGACATCGCCATCCAATTAATTGTGATTGGGGTTTTACAAATTTTGGCTTGTTTCGATTTGTGACATTGTAAACCTCACCATTTTTTTGGTAATTAAACCAGAATTCTGGCAATACAGGTGTTCCATTCGTAGCCAAAATTTTGGCAATGTTATTTGGTGCTCTATTGTTTGCTTTTACCCAGAATGTTAGCAAGAACACAAATTTGATAACAACAATCCAAATCACAATACTCATTCTATTGCCACTGCCAATTTTTTGGGTTACAAAACAAACGTGCTGCACTCCCCATTTCCAGAATTTCTTGGCAAGTTGGCACACTTCCCTTCTCAGCTTCTTTTCTCTCCGCAAAACACTTAAAGATATGCACAAGTGATGGTATGCCATTTAATATTTGTCATCTTTGTTTCTTGCTCGAAATCTTATATTCACGATGCTTCTTAAAAAGAATTTTCTTTTGTTTATTTACCCACATTAGCGATGATTAGGGTAAAATACTTCCATTTGATAATATAAGACGTATTAGATTTCTACATGATATTCAATATTATACTTTAATTATTAATTTCTTTTATATATACCAATATATTATTATCAACAACTACAAAATTGACATTATATATTTTTTTTCTTTTAAAAAAGGAATATAGTGATACTTTTTAGTAGTTAAAGTTAATTTTTCAATGTTAAATTTACGGAAAACAAGGAGACCTTATATTTTTAAACGGGATATGGAGTAGGACTCTACGCATCCTATACAATACGAACCCGTCGGATTAGATGACCAGAAGCGACAACTACTTGTACGACGAAAAACACAGACACCCCTACTTAATGACCATCAACTTCTTTGTTTGATCGTGCACTTAAAAAAACTATTAATTTTGTCTCATCATTATTGGTTTGCTTTCATTTATTTCACACCCAAACGAAAGAGAACTAACAATATTACTCGGTTCAATAACCGGTAGTGATAGTAGGCGACGCTACTACCGATTCATATTATCCTAGAGCAACACTTTACCGATTCAAAACCCCAGAAGTGATGAGGTTTTCTTATAGATGGAAACAATGCCTCGAAGTAAGGAATGAGCCGCGACCTCGACCGACCTATTATAACTTGGACAAGGAATTTCAATTACACAATAGCAAAGTAGATCTTATACTAAAGATTGAATCCCATGCCTCAAACCATGGCATGGGCTACCCAAGGGCTGGTTTCACTTTCATACCTGGTGCATACCTTGACTTGTCCATCAACAGAGAGTATTGGTGTGAGGAATGAAGCCTGATCCGAGATCTACCTACCCCTGTCACACACCTGTTGCATATCCCCCATATCACAAGATATGATATACACACCATATATATAGGCAGATCTTGGATCAAACTGCATTCCAAACACCTATCTCTCTCAATCACACCTATCTTGATCTATAGCTGCTAGTACATGCACACACACACCATGCATATATGCATATTAAGACGCTAGCTAGCTATCAGCTATTCAGCTGCACGAGGTTACTACTACTATATATATACTGGTCGAGCTAGCTAACAAAAGGCAAAGCTAACGCCTGTACATATGGCCACATGCATGATGGCTGGAGAATATGGAGATAGATCTTTCTTGTGGTCTCACATGCATCGAGGGCTGTGTATGCTCTCATGGCTAAGGCTAACGCTAGGTAGGCTAGCTGCACTCTCTCGTACGTACGGCGTTTCGTTCTGGAAGAATCAAACTCCAGAGTCCAGAGAGGAGGCGGCCGGCCGATGCATGCGTGGGAGTGAGTGCACGGGGAAAAAGAAAAGTGAGCCTTGCGCATGCACCGACCAGAATCCCCCGCGGCGTGCTGTATTGCCGAAGCCCGCAGGTGGGGGCGCCGATGTAATTAAGCCTCATCCCATTGGCTACGTTTTGGTCGGACAATTTGATGTGAGATACTCCCTCCTTTCTAAATTGATATACATATTTCATAGAGTGAAATATATGGCCGGTTCTTAAACTTGTGAGGTGGTGTCACTTAGGTCCGTAAACTTGAAAATTGCATGTTTAGACCCGTGAACTTGGTTTAATGTACCACCCAGTCCAATTGTTCTTTGACCACATTTGACCACCAACATGGCATGCCATGTAAGCAACACTTTTGTGCTTAGCCCCCTCCACATATATCTTCGCACATAACTTGCCCTGACCGGTGCATTTCAACCTAAATCCCCCAAAATATCCCTAAATCGACTAAGGCTTCGACGGTGAGGTTAGTGGAAGGAGGCCAAGAGGTATAGCGGCTGTGGCGGCCTCGGCGGTGAGATTAGCGGCAGGAGACAGCGCAGTGCAGCGGGGTTAGCGGTGGCACAGTGCGGCCGGATTAGCGGCGGGAGGTAGTGCAATGGTAATTGCTAATTAGGACCGCATTTTCTATACATGCAAGAAGAAGAATGAGAGGGAAGAACGATTTGAGGATTTTTTTTGGGGGGGGGGGTTCTGGTGTCACTATATAGCTACAATGAGATATATGCGATGTGTTGTGATGTAGAGGGGGCTGAGAGCAAAAGTGTTACCTACTGGCGGTCAAACCTAATCAAAGGACGTTTGGACCAGGGTGGTACATTAAACCAAGTTCATAGATCTAAACGTGCAATTTTCAAGTTCACGGACCTAAGTGACACTACCACATAAGTTTAGGGACCGGCTATGTATTTCACTCTATGTCATAGGTACACCCAGACCAAGAAAAGCTAATAACTCTCTCATACTATATTTACTCTAGCAACAAACTCAATGCATGCACCATCCCCGCTATTTCCTAGCCAATAGCAAATCAAGATATTGCATATGGGTTATAAATAGTGCATGGATGCATGCATCAATGTCCATTTGCTCCAATACACAAATAACGAATAGACTTAATGAATGAACACAAATATGTAGATCATTTAGGAAAAACCTAAAAAAAAATTATATGTAGATCAATTTGAAATGGAGGGAGTAACACCTTCTGTTGTGCTTTTTTTTTCTTTCCTTTTGCTTTTCCTTGCATTCTTATTTTTGTTTTGAGTAAATTTCACAAAATATGTAGGTACTTTGATCAAATTATTACAAAACTATTCATTTAACACAAATTTTATCACATAGATACATATATAAGGCTAAGATTTAATAATAGAGTTATCACAAATCTACAAATTTTACAGTTTAACTTCCTAAATGTGATGTTAGAATTATAAATGTTGTAGTTTTAATTAACATCGTGCAAAGTATGTAATTTTGTGATAAATTTATTGCTATATCTGTAGTTTGGCGATCTTCCATCTTGAATCTATAATTCTTTGATAAATTTGATCATGAATATGTAGTTCTGTGACACACCTTCAATTTATAGTGTTATGATAGTTTCGTCAAAGTATATGTTGTTTTATGAAATATACTCTTTTGTTTTCTTTGTCAGTTGTGTTTGTAAATTCCACCCCTTAATCTTAATACAAAGATACTAAGTCTTATGCATATTTTAAAAAAACTTATCATCGGTAAAAAAAAAAATCAACCCTTGTCATGTATACCACAACATTCCACTATAGAAGAAAAAACAATAGTAGCTACTACCTCCATCCCAAAATGTAAGCATTTTTAGCTATGAATCTGGACACAACAAATATAATATTGTGTCCAGATTCATAGCTAAAAATGCTTACATTCGGTACGGAGGTAGTAGTAGTTAGCTCTGTACTTCCTCCGTATAAAAAAAACAATTTCATCTAAAAATGGATCTAGACAAACACTAGTTCAGTTTCTCAGAAGTTGATTTTTTTTATAGAACAAATATGATGACACTTTGCACTTTACTTTGACGTACTGCCTATCATTCGTATTGCCAGTTAGGGCTGCTGGGCAGGCCGGAGCCCTGATGGAATCATCTTTTTGGTATGCTTCGCGCGTACATGAACGATATTTGCCTGATAGACGATGATGTACTTGTACTTACAAACTAAATTTATGTGCTCAAAAGAAGTGCTTGAGGTCTTTATGTTTCTTTTCCTTTTTATGATTTGCTGGGTAAAGTTGGGATTTTAGGGGTTTATCCAAGCTTTATTTTTGTCTTGCATTGAAACTCGATGCCTTTGGGATGCATGCCTAGCTTCATTTGGAAAAAGCAAAAGCTAGTGAAGTCTGCTCTAATCATTAGATGCTACACAATACACGAAGATGATCTCTTTTTGAACGAGCAGCCATAGGACGATCATTTATAATATGTTGAATTAAATAGTACCCCTGTCCAGTTTTTAATGTTTGATGCCATTGGTTTTTAGATATATGTTTGGTCATTTGTTTTATTATGAAAATATGTACACCCCCGTTCTAAAATATAAGTATTTTTAGACCTTGACACGGTCTTCGAGATGCTAC